TTCACATTTAAAATGTTGCCTAAACAGAAGCAGCTGCACAAAAGCTCTGTTGAGATAAAATGCTGTCAAATATCAGTCATTTAAAAATCAGTCAATTTAAATCAGAAAGTGTCCTGAAGAAGAAATCGGATCAGACATTTGATGCCGTCCTTCAGTACCTGACGCTTTTGGGTTGTCAGATATAAAGTCATTTCAGTTCGTACTGAACAAAACAATGGTTACCAGCCAGAGGTCATAGTTTATCATCTAGCTACATCACTGGGGGCACAGGTTCACTCACTGATATTACCGTAAGACACACACACACACACACTCGTCGACATGCAGCCAGAGCGTGTTCAGACCAAGATGTAGTCAGAAGCAGACGGGAAAACGTCACCATTTTTAGTCTCAAAGTGTATTGATTTCAGAATATACTGTACATCTGATGGCAGCTTCATCTAGAGTTTCCTTCACAGGAAAATCAGGCCTTAAAAACAGGTGTCTCTGGCATCATCGCTTTGATTTAGCACTGGTGAATACATTATACTAGGCCAAGAGGAGGATAACGTGGATATATTACACCTTCATTTTCAAGTCATTAAAGAATGAAAGATGAAGGTGTGATGTCAGAACACACCAAGGAGAGGTGACAGGTTGCTGCTTCATTTGTCTCATAAACGGTGACACACATGGCACTAAGCAGTCCTTCCCTTTCTCTATATTCTCTCCTCTAGATTGACCCAAAGGTTGCATTCCCTCGCAGAGCTCAGCCCAAGGTGAGTCCCCTGGTCTTCTTCTTCTCTTAGTTAGTTGTTTACAGCATGCGTGGAGTGTTTCACCCTCTTATCTGAGCTAATGCTTGGTAATCTGATGAACATGATCAGCGCTGACATCACTGAGCTGCTATGTGATTGTGCGTTAACAAAAACAGCCACAACTTTATAAACACAGTATTGTTCAACTCTCCCAAGTGTCTGTATTGCATTTCAAGTACACTCTGCCGGGAAATGAGAAGAATAGCTTCACGAGGCAAACAGCCCAAATAAATACTTAGACTTGTAGTGTTTTATAACATTTTTCTAAACAACAGATTTGTAAAAATGGCTGCGTCACTGGTTATTACATTGGCTCTGGTATGTATCCCAGCTGTAAATACGCAATGCATGAACAAAAGAGATCACACGGAAGAAAGTGACAAAGTGAACTATATATAAAAATACCAACTTAAACCACTGGCAGTGCCATTGTCTCATAATGCGGGGCACACTAGACAACAAAGCACGAGTATCAAAAGGTGGTGGATAGTGGCACTTGGAGCTGCACAAATACAATTAAGTAATGGATCATTGGGGAAAATATTTAAATTTATAGTTGTCATCCACATTGTTGATGCTTTGACTGCAGTGTGATAGTGTTCAGCCTAGCTAACACCTCCTTCCCTTTTACCTGTTTCTCTACTGAATGCTAAGAAAAATGTATCATATGTATAAAATATGCTAGAGTCAGACAGACATGCAGCCATCTGTGCAGCTGCCTGCTGCTTGTCTTCCACTTTGTGTGACTCGTCACAAAAAGAAAGAAAGTTGAAGTGCAAAAGACCAGAGTAATTACAGTTGTCAAGTGTTTGCTGCAACCTGGACTGACTTCAAAGTGAACATCGCATGGGAAACTGATGTAGGTAACATTAAGAAATGGGCGATAAGCTAGAGCCACATTAATAATGGCTCTGTGAACCCAGCTTATAAAGCAACATTACATTAAAAATATAATCGGTGTCTGTCTGCAAGATAATGACAGCGGTTTTCATTGATCCTCACACACACACTTTACAGATAAATGAGTAGTAGCTGTGTTTTTGTTCTATTGCACAAAACAATATATTACTCCTTGTTTTTACCTGTGTGTATTTTTCAAATATCAGTTCTAGGACTTTTTTTCAGCCCTTGAATGGATGGGTTCATTGTCACTTATGAATGATCCCACAGATACAAATGCACCCAATGGTTTCATTATGAAGTTTTCTTCTGCATCTTATAGAGCTGTGACCACTAGTTAATCAATCAGTTAGTCAGGGGGGAAGAAATGTAATCAGTTTTGTAAACTAGTTTTAATAATTTTCAATCCAAAGTTTTTTTTATATTTAATGGTCCCAGGTTTCCAGATGTGAGGATTTGCTGCTGCGCTTGGTCGTAGGTGATAGTAAACTGCATGTTTAGGTTTTGGACCAGTTACATGAGCAAAATATTTAATGAGGTCATGTTTGCTTCAGGACATTGTGGTTGACATGTTTCACTGGTGTTTTGTAGACTGTTATAGACGGTTCACTGATTAACCAAAATATAATAACAATAGTTGTCAGAATAAGCAATACTGAAAGTAATTGGAGGTTGAATATCTCAGCCCGAACAGCTTTTAAGGAGACAACAATGACCATTGTACTAGTGTTCTGGGGGTAGTGTGAGAACTTGTTTTCTACTTAAACTATAATTTTCTCTGTATCACAGTTTTTTGTATTTTGTGTGGGGGGGTGGTAACAATCATAGCAACAGTAAAGCACAACACTGACAACAAATATACAAATTTTAAGTCATACCTTTTTGAACTGCTATCTTAATAAATATACAGTTTAATTAAAAATGTACAGACACATAACAAACAGCCAACACAAAACATGCGTATGTTCTCTTTCCTCCTCTTTCAGTTGGTGACTCGAACCAAGAAGATTTTTGTGGGAGGCCTGTCAGTGAACACAACTATCGAGGACGTCAAACAGTACTTTGACCAGTTTGGGAAGGTGAGTGATTTCTGAGAGAGTGTTAAAGCTGTTGTGGTTGATGATGGTCAGAAAACAAATTATCAGATATAATGGATTCACGTAAGTTTGTCTTGTGAGTATCAGTGCAGAAACAAATCAGCAGCTTAGAAACACGTAGCGCCTCATCCCACCAGCTCTGCCGAGTCTGATTCACCACAAATTCTCTGAGAAAAACTTCACTTGGAGTCGAGCGGCTGCCTGGAAGTGAAGGAGTTACTGTGAGGAGTGCGAGAAAGGATGGAGAGAAAAGACTTGAAGAGGGTAGGAAAATCACGAGGCCCAGAGGCTCCAGGAGCAGCAGGCGAAGTTATGGAGGCTACAAGAGGGAGCAGAGTGAGAGGAGGAGGGAGGCGGGGGGAGAAAAGTTTAGTAGTGAGTGTATGGCGATGGTGAGGAAGGAGGAGGGATTATCAGAATCTGAATTAATCTGATGTAACAGCTGCTCCTACCCACAACCCCCTCCTGGCCCGTTACCGTGGTGACCTAGCTTTGCCCATTGTCCCCAAGTAATTTTGAGGGTAAGGGGTTTTTGTCCTGAAGGAGGAGGGATGAGGTGGTGTTCGGGGCTGTTAGCATGAGTGTGTGTATGTGTGTGTGTGTGTGTGTGTCGGGCGGGGGTTCACTTCGGAGTTTAGTGACAATAAATACAAGTTGATTAATGTTTAAAATCTTGCAAACTTCTCTCTCAACCATTCTACCATTTCCTTAATGTGCTTTTGCGTTCTAGCAGATTTCTACATAAAGTTTTGCCCGAGTTTCTCACATTATGAGGACTCTGAAAGGGAGGAGGCAGAGAATGGATGATGGGCTGACAAAGGATCCGACAAGGGAGGGAGGGCCTGATTGAGAGAGGTTTGTGGAGGCATAAGAGAGGGAACTGGGGCAAAGATGGGGTGTGGGGAGGATTATGTGGGCAATTATGCCTCTGAACAAAGCTAGACAAATATTTTGTTAGTTTGCTCAGAAGATATTTGCATACTGGAAGCTTCTGGATTGTTCATTCTACTAAATGTGTCCTCTAATGTGAAACTGACCATCAGTAATATGTGATTCAAGTTGTACATGAGTTGTGGTTCGTTTTGGGCAAAACAAATTAGACAAAACAAACAAACAAACAAACAAAAAAAGGTCCCAACTTTATCAGCAGGTGGACATCTGCGCCCTTGAAACTTTTCAAAGTCAAACATGTGACAGCTCCGTTTAGCCCTTGTGTTTCCAACTCTGTGGTGCTTTATTTTCAGTGCCCAAGGTTTGGCCTCGAGTTTCTCTGTGCTCCCTCCTCAATCATAACCTTTAGATGAATTTTTGCCGAGAGAGATATCGAGGGATGGATGGTGAAATGTGGCCTCCAGCCATCCATGGAAGTTCCTGATTAGACTGCCTCACTGGACCTTTTGTGTCCCATCCTGGTGAGGACAAAGGAACGCGGAGAGTGATGGGCAGCGGATAACGGGGAAGATCAGAGGTGGAAAAAAAAGGATAACAGGGAATATTGTCCAGTGGTACGCCGTTAAAATGCCCAGAGTTTGAAATATCAAGCAATGATGTGCAATTAACTCAGTTTGCGGTGTTTAATGGGAACTGTGGGCGGTGTTGACATGGTTTGACTGCATCCAGACCATGCAGCAGGATGAGTGTGTGCACTTTCAGTTCACTCTGGGATTCTGTGTGTTTGCCTTGTTAAGTCTGGTTTTTGGAGCCTTTCCTCTTCTTAAAATTGATCATTTAAAATGTTGGCACTCTGGAGAGTTTCAGCTGTTAGGTCTCTTGAATAAAAGTGTCAGCTGAATAGCAAAAATACAGTGTTCTGAGTGCAGACATTCAGAGCTGAACGTGTTGCAGGCGTTGAGCAAATGTCAGGCTGGAAGGAAGCAGTGACTTGAGAAGCATCAGAATAACAGGTCCCCTTTCAGACTGACACTCCTCACTCACCTTTGACCTTTCTGTAGGCAAAGTTCCCACTGGGGGTCCACATAAACACAGACATATGCACTGTGTGCTAGTATGTGTGAGGATGTGACTGTGACAAATGGTTGAGTGGACCGTGTCCAGCGAACTTATTATAGACCAAGAGTACAGATGAATCTTCCAAATGTTTATTTGGAACTCTGTGTGTGGACCGGAGTATAAACATGTCAGCTTGTGACAAGAGGGAGAGGAAGAGAAACCAGCAGAGAGGGAGAGACAGAGTAGGTCAACTCTGACATAAGAAACTCTGGGTGTGTGTAGAACAGACACCTGTGCCTCTGCTGTATAAAGGGAGGCCAGGCCGGAGGGAGAGGTCAAAGGGAGAAGAGGAGGAGGAATTATGGCTGACTGTGCCAACAAACAAAGCCTCCGGGCCTCTTTGTTCTGCGTCTCTCTTTGTCTCTTCTTTCCCCTCCCTCTCCACTTTGACCCAATCCCTTTTCTCTTTCTCTCTCTTACAGGACTCTCTGTGCTCTCTCTCACCGTATCTCCACCTGTCACTACTTCTCTCGCTATCAGCTCACCCCTCTCATCAAGTCTCCACCTGCTTACAGGATTCACCTTTCTGCTTGTGACTGGCTATGTTTTTTTGTGTGTGTGTCAGTGTTCCTCTCTTTGCGGCCCTCTTTGTCTCACTGGATCTTTCCCACTATTCATAAAGCATATTTTATGTTGGCACAAGCTCTTTTATAAGGACTTTTTGTACAGTTGTCATGGCAATGTCAAACTTTGGAGGGGAGGAAGGGGGCAGATTACGAGCTCTTTGTGAGAAAGACTGTAACCGGGGCAGTTTAGCAGCAAACACAACTTCCAACTTTTCACGTTAACCGTTATGTCTATTAGTCATACACACTATTTCTTTATGTTTTCCTGTGTTTGCCCCCTCGGGCTCCTCTTTGTAACCTGTCGCTCGTCTCCAGTCTGCTCCCTCCCTGTCTCCCTCTTCCCCCTCCTTTCTGTCCATCTGTTGCTGAGCCTCCCTGCAGAACTTGAGAAGGGCTGAGGTCAGGCAGTATGTTGCGTGGCGAGAGAGAGAATGCCGCGTTAAAAACCTGTGTTGTTTGTCTCCCCCCAGGTTGATGATGCCATGCTCATGTTCGACAAGACCACCAACAGACACAGAGGTGAGATGGACTGACCTTCCCTCTGTCTTCTGTTCACTTCCCATATCTCTGCTTCTCCTCTCCTTCTCTTCCTCGATTTAATATTCTTCCTCCAGTCCTTCCTGGGTGTCTATTGATCCCCCCCCACCCCCACCCCCCGGGCCTCCTTCTTGTGGTCTGAGCTGGAGGAGATGAACAGAGCTAGTCTAATTAGCCAGTCCGTTAATCAGGATCAGGATAAAGCTTTCATAAGCACCTCCTCCCCACCCTGGGACTGATCGATTATGACAGCCTACTAGCTTTACCCGGGCCTTCTGGCCAGGAAGGGAGGGAAGAGAGGACAAGTGCAGAATAGCACTTGGAGGGGGAGGGGGGCAAATGTATTAAGTGGCTGTTACAGCACTGATTACTTGAGACAGTTAGCTGTCCTGCTGCGCAGAACGGCCTACTGTCTAAGTCCACCATTCTGTGTGAAATGTTTATACGTATGCCCTCGTCTTGTCCTCTCCAGGGTTTGGTTTTGTGACATTTGAAAATGAGGATGTGGTGGAGAAGGTCTGTGAGATCCACTTCCACGAGATCAACAACAAAATGGTGAGCAGCTAGATTTGCAAGCAACACTGGTCAACAACAAGAAACAAGAAGCACTGATTTGTCTTGTCTGGAAACAGGTGGAGTGTAAGAAAGCTCAGCCCAAGGAGGTAATGTCGCCCACAGGCTCAGCCAGGGGGCGCTCCCGGGTAATGCCATATGGAATGGACGCCTTCATGCTGGGCATCGGTATGCTGGGTAAGTTGGTACTGATCAGGACAGGAAGGATGTGGCTGCACAGCTGAACCTGACAGTGACTGTTCTTGCACTGAAACCCCAGTTGCCTTAAAGGTCACATGGTGCCTCATGGGGAGAAAGCTGACCACTGGCCTGTCCTCAACATGCAGCCTTCCTTATCTAGACCTAAGATTTTAGAAGTGACCAAGAAAGTGGAGTTGATGATGGCTTTATAAGAAAAACTTGCAGCTTTCCAAACTGTGAATTACCCACTTACCATATACTGTATGCTTTAGCTATGCCAGTTATTTAGCGTTGCACTTTAATAAAGCTAAAACTAAGGTCCACATTGTACAGCAGTTTTCCCCCAGACAAAGCACTGTTCCACTGAACCTCAGGTGTAAAATTTGTGAAATGGCCCTTTAACAAATAATTTTTCTTTTCTCCTTGCCTTGAAGATGGTCCCTGACACTAATGTCAACTCATTATCAGATTTTTTATTGTATTCACCATCAGAACCTAAACTTGCCACATCAATACTACCACCTACTGTTTGGTCTGAGAATTGCACTTTTGTCTTTAGTAATTCAGTGGTTAGATTAAAGGACATGCCACAACACAACACACACCACAAAAAGTACAAAACAAACCCTGTGTGTAAAATCACATTGCTGAGAGTGAAACAGAAGATGAAGACTGCAATCTGCTCAGTCTTGTTCTTGTGAGAAAAAAAAATTCAGACCACAGAACAACTACCTGCATGTCACAAAGTGTACTAGCAGCACACACACACGCACATGAACACACTAGTACTGGTTTGCATAGTCTCTTAAATCTGCATAGTAGCACATATTCTTCTCATATCACATGTCATTATCATCACTGCAGCGGCGCTTTCTGTATGTGTCGTATTTTCGCTGTGTTTGCGGTGATCCGGGTGTTAACAGTGATTGTGTTTCTGTAGGTTATCCAGGCTTCCAGACAGCCACATACACCAGCCGAAGCTATGCCGGCATCACTCCTGGATACACCTACCAGTTCCCTGGTAATCCCAGCATACTTTCTGATACACTTTGACTTGTCTCCGTCACATTAACTAAGAAATATATACACAGCCACATTTAGTTAGCAAGTGTTCAGCACTGTAGATGCCTGGTGCTGCAGGAGACATACAAGGAGACTTATGGCTCACCTATAATGCAATGAAAGCACAGACACTAAAATCATCCTGGTGTTCCTTGTAGCCTGTACACACATATTACACACAGTATTAATTATAGTGTTAAGATAACATATTCTTGGTTCCATACGAAGTAATGTGTGGTGAGTGATGGCAAAGTGTGATCATTCACTGTTTCTCTGGCTGTGTGTGTGTGCTCTGGCAGTGTTGGTGGCTGTCTCAACACAACTCTGATGTTTCTGTTTCAGAGTTCCACTTAGAGAGGACTCCCCTTCTGACTTCACCCCACCCCCCTGAGCTCACAGGTCAGTCGGTCCCTCCTCTGGACTTTACAAGCAGCGTGTTGTCGGTCTGTGAGCATCAACACCTGATCACTCTGGTTTGTGTTTGTCAGTACTCCTCAGTCTCTAGCTGAAGGCAGGATTGCTCACAGTACTGAGGAAGGTTTTGTGATTTGCTTTAGTTTTCTTCCACTGACCTCATCAGCTCCTCTTTTTTTAATATGATTATTAGCAGTGTTTACTTGTAATTCCTGGTACTCCCAATTCTCAGAAAGCTCCTCGGGTCACTAGAGGGGGACAGTGAGTTATGTTATTCTTTTCTGTCTCTTTAGCCATTCCTCTGACAGCATACGGACCAATGGCAGCAGCAGCAGCAGCAGCAGTAGTTAGAGGTATGAAAAATAAAAAAAGCCTTTTTTTGCTGATCAGTGCCCTCGATATAATTCAAATTTAAATGTTCATATAACCAAACAATCAAAATTAAAGAGTCCCACCTCATGATTTAGGGAATTCATATATAATTTTGATGAAAACGATGTAGCAGCTGTATGTAGCAGCTTGATGCTCTTCAGTGTGATGATGTTAATCCTCCTGGACTAATAGCTAGACACTATACTGAAAAATGTCCAAGATAAACAGAATCACTCTGACGTTGGTCATATGTCAAAAAGCTGAAATAGAATAAAACTTTTGCAGAAAATGTATTTAAACCTGAAAAAATAACCTTTTGTCCACTTGGGATTGAGCTGTAAAGAAAACATAGATATAAAGTATTATCACCTTCTGAGATGACATGGATGAACTTGTTAGCAAATAAGTTTGCTTATTAACAAGTCGAGCAAATACAGAGCAACATGAGCATTCATTTGGAGTCACGTTTCTGGTGAATGCATGTCCTGTGTTTATTTTCATTTTTGCTCTGTTTTAGCCTGCACCAGCTCCTGAGAAAATGATCTGAATCTTTAGCTACTACAGTAAATGCTCTTTATGATCACCGGCTAGTTGCTAACTGAGTCTGTGTCCTTTGGTGCTGAGCAGGCATTGCACATTGGGTTTTTAGAAAACAAAATCAGCTGCCCGCTGTGGCCAAGAACAACACTGATAAGAGGAGTGAGAGCAAACCTAAGGCAGTGAATTTGTGGAACATAAAACCAAAACAATGAGCTTAAAGACTATACAATACTTCATGGGCCTGCAGTGATAACCCTCTGTGGGTTTGTTGCACTGAGTAACATCTTTTACAGCACACATAATCATTGGTGTCATTGTTATAATAAAAAGGGGGATAGATCCGATCTTTTACAGCTAGAGAAAATCAAATCACAGGAATTTTTATAAGCAAAGTTAAACAGAGTAACACAATTGAATGCATAGTAAATGACATACTATTTGTAACATGTAAGATATGATTTAAAAAATGTGAAACCTAAAAATGTATCTACCTGAAAGTAATTCAACAAAAGCAACAAGTCTTCGAGCCTCGGTTTTGATAGTGTCTGTATTTGTTTTTAGGTTCTACCCCGTCTCGCTCAGCTGGATTTTTAGGTACGAGCAGCCCGGGGCCGATGGCGGACCTTTATGGAACAGCCAGTCAGGAGTCCGCTGTCAGCAGTTACCTCAGTGCTGCAAGTCCCGCTCCAAGCACTGGATTCAGCCATAGCTTGGGGGTGAGATATTATCACTATTGATTATGTATTGGAGTTCTGTATTGGGGTATTTTGTGCCCTTGTTCCTTATTATGAGAGTTAGATGAGAAGCTCATATCTTTTCATTAAATATAAGGCTTAGCTTAGCATAAGGAATGGAAGTGGGAGACGGATTTTCAGATTTTACACACAGTATCTCTGTAACTCCACAACCATTATTACATGTTATTCTACACATTAATTTTTACAGAAACAAGATAAAATATGTTGCTTCAAATCTGTGTGCTATGCTAAGCTAACCAGCTGCTGGCTGTAGCCTCACATTTAGCAGACAAATAAGAGGGTGATAGTAATCTTCTCAGCTAACTCTCAGCAGTGTTTCTCTACTGCATATCATCACACGTGCAGCTTTTCATTCTAGTGAAACCCTGCAACAGCTGATTTGACTGATTAGCATCTTCAATGTGAGAAAACAAAAACAGGAGTTGAACTCAAAGTCAGCATTTGCGAACAATAAATGAACTCTGAACTTGCATGCTTGTTTCCACAGGGCCCTTTGATCGCCACAGCCTTCACTAACGGCTACCACTGAGAGATTTTGTGTCAGTGCAGAGCTGTAGACTGAGAGCTGGAAGGAGTTGAAGCTGTTCTGGAGCTGATCTGGCCTGTCTCTGTCCTGTGCACCTCCTCGGCGCGGGCCCCCCCTGGCGCGAGCCTGATCCCAGCCGACCCCACTGACGACTCACCAAACCCCACCTCCTGCAAAAATAAAAGAGGAGCACAAACATTTATCACTACATGTCATAGCAACACCTGCAGATGCTGTATTTTTATTAGTGTGTTTTTTTCCTGTTATTATGTTTCACCATGCTGTTTTTCCCCCAGTTGTTGTGTTATTTCTGCTTTGGTTTTGTTTTAATGGATGATTTGACCTCTGAACCTGATCTGTCTAAGATGAGAGGAGTTAAATCTCCAGCTGAACCCTGTTTACAGGTCAGGACCTGTAATTTGTACTGGAAGACTGTATATTTGTCAGTAGTTCATACTGAATTTTAACAAAACATTTGTGATTAATACTGTTGAAAATGTGTCACAAATTGTATATCTCAGTAGGTTTTTAACAAAGACTTTTTAGACTAATAATTGTCAGATGACAAAGGTCATTAGCCCCAGTTACATAATAGGTGACATGAGCTGTACAATTTTGTAAAATATTGTAAATATGACTCTTTCTGGGGTGGGGTGGGGGGGGTACTCAGTTGATCTTTGTGTCTGGGAGGTGGGAGGCTGTGGGTAAATGGAACAATTGCTTCTTTCATCAATCCTTACATGTTGGAAAGTTTGGCTGTTTTCATAGTTTCACATGGAGGGCAAGAACATTTCAGTTTGTCTGTCTGTCAGTATAAGAGCGGCTGTCTGCTGTACTCCTCTCCAGGCATTTATGAGTTGTGTGTCATTTGACTATGTTACTGCATTCAGAAGCTGCCTCAGAGTTGAAACACTTTCAGCTTTGTGTGTAGCAGGAGACAGCAACACTTCTGGGGATATATGGGTGTAAAAAGCTCATCTAATAGAAGAGGAAAAGGACTTGCTGATTTCTTTGTCATATTGTTTTAACTGTGATTTTCAATATGTGATGATTGTGAAGGGAAATGAAGGACTGGTGTGCAGAGGCAGTCACGCACAGTTAACATGTTTTTGACTGGTTCTCTCTACAGGTTGTGTTGATGTTTGTGTGAGAGTGGTTTTTATACACATTGGTTTTTTGCATTAACATCTATGTCACAATGTCGGTGGTTAAACCTTTCAGAAAGGTGTCTATTCCAACAGGAAAGCGGGGTCTTATAAACTCCAGTTTACATGTCACCCCCAGCCATGAATCCATCGCTGCGTATCCACTGGAGGTCACAGACTGTAGCAATGTGACAGCTTTTTTTTAGACCAAAACTGTTATGTTCAGAGCTACTAGGATGTTGCACTGGCCGATCACAGTAAATGTGTTTTACTTTGAATGTTAGCTTAAGAACAAGGCACTCTCAGTCTACAAAATGCCAGGTTTTACATTTTGATACACTCACTCACACTGCTGTGGACTACCATGGTATACTTTGATACTGAAAAATAATAATCTTGTCAACACTGTAACATTTTCTGATTTTTCCCTGTCAAGTGTTTTCATCTGGGGAAAAAACTTTTTAAAATTCCTAATAAATTATTTTAAAACATTCCATTTATGTGTCCTCTTTGACCTTTTGTGCACCTAATTTTTTTTATACTTTTGAATAAGAGAAATACAAAAGGTAAGAACATTTTTTCACCTTGGTGAAGCAAATTTTTCTGACAAGTTCGAAGGTTTGGAGGTTTTGCCATAGTTCTACATTAGATGGTGCTGTGTGGTCTGGATCATCTGAGGCTGTTTTCATGTCACTTACAACAGACACATCAGCATAAAGAAACCTCATTTTAAAACTGCTGATGGATTTTTGTTGTTTTTATCTACTTGTATACTTGTGTGTAAATCGTAAAGGGAGACTAAATGGTCTTATTCTAATGCATTCTCTAATGTAACGCACTATAAATTTTTATCAAGTTACTATAAATGTATCCTCAATTACTGCTATGTTTGTAATAATTGACATTTGTACTAAATTTACAGTTGAGGAGTAGTGAACTACAACAGGCTGCATGTAATTACACAAATTCATATTTTCATAGTGATTTGAGTAAACTACAAACAATTTTGCACCATAAAAGTAAAGGAATGTTTTTTTTTTTTTACCTTGCTGCATGTAAGTGACTTTTCCACGTTGGCAAAGACGCTTTGAGTGTCAAACACAATGGCCTATCAGATAAGAACTATGAGAGACGACTCATGTGTCATGTAAACAACAGATTCTGCTCTGATTAGTAGAAAGACAGGCTCATTATTTAGACCTGTGTTCAAGCTGTTCATAAAAAGGTACAAGTAGAAGACTGCTGTAGTTGTTAAGATAGTACAAGTCAAATGTTTCAAAACTGACAACTAAGACAACAGGTACATTTTTTTGAGACCAGTGCTCAAGCCAGTCAAATGGTCTAAAAAAGGTGAATTTTTACTGCTTTACAGTAATTTTAATGAGATGATACGACATCCAGATTTGTTTACAACAAACATATAAAATTTGGAGCAGTTTTGTCCTTGTGAAAAGTCCAGATGGGACTGTTTTGTTCAGGACAAGTTTAGGTCTCAGGTATTAAACTTGAGTTGGATTTTTATACTTTTGTATCACATGTACATTGTAGATTTGATCTGATTTTTTTTTTACAAGGTAGTTTAAACTACTTTTTCCAAGTAGCTCAATCAAACTAATTCTCTCTCTAGAGCAGCTTTGCTGTAGTTCAGTATCTTCCACTGTGAAGTAATTGGTAGCTTCCAAAGCTATACATTCAAAGTAGCTTCTCCAACATGGACTAAATTATAGTTTATACTAAATGGCTATAAATGTGCACTGAATTTCTATAAATGGGTAGTAAATTATTATAAATTTGGTTTAAGTTACTATTCAAATGTACAAAATAACTATAAATATACAGTACACTAAATGATTGTACATTTGCACTTTCCTGAACAATTATAAAAGTGTACTAAATCGCTAGAAATGTGCATTAAATTGTTATATATTTGTAATAAATGACCAAAAATGTATACTAAATGACTATAAACTGAGTTATAAACCAGTAAAATGTCTTTTCCCTTTCCTCACATTAAGTGGCAACAGTATCTATTCAGTCTGTCTCCTGGCCTGAATCCTCACATGTCTCTGTGTCCCTCTTATATGTCTGTGCTGGCTGATTTCTCTCATCCATCATCGCTGCTCCACTGCTTCCCTTCCCCTGCCTCCACCTCCATTCTCCCAGTGTCCCAGCTCTGTTGCTTCATGTCTCTGCTTTTGCTGTGTTGTGGGACACTGCAGCTGCTCATGAACACCAAGAAAGACACATTTTAAAATAGGCATTAGCTCTAGATTGGAGGACATTTACATTTGTTTCAAATTAAAAGCATTTTGGACACAAATTGTGGTAAAGTAGATGTGTCCTCAGCAGGTACATAGTATGTCTGTAGGTTACAGGAGCAAGTCACCCAAAAAGGAAAAGTGATTCAATCATTTTTAGTGGCCTAAAAAGAAGTGTCAGTAATGAAAATACTCCGTTTTTGTCAATTGTTTTTAAATAACATTTACAGCTGCTCATGAAAAGTGCAGAGCAATTAAGTTAAACCTCAAGTGCAGAAAACAAATGCATGAATACACAAGCAAAAATAAACACATACATACAAATCAACAATGAATACAATAATCAAAATTACACAGTCACTTTATAAACAAATACAAATAAAAGGGGCCCAGAGAACTGAAACTGAAAAATCTTATGTTGACTTGATAATTATCAATGTGCTCGTATTGTTTATTAATGTTTCCCTTCAGAATTAAGCCACTTATAACTCGGACACCCGTTGTAGAAAACGTAGGCTAAAGTTTACAAGAGCTCGTGTGGCCTGAACACTCGGCGCCAATCGGGTTAAACTTTAACTCGGCCTGGGCTGGAGGAGGACAGGAGGCGGAAGAGGTGTGTTTTCTTCAAGAGACACAGACTGAAGTTCCCTATAAATGGCGCAGAGTGAAGCATAGCACAGGGGATTCATCACAAGAAGAAGTGGTGTGAGGACACAGACCGACACAGACCGTCCGTCCTGGTCTGGGGGAAGGTGGAAAGACTGCTCCGCCTCATGCTGGTGATTTTTGACCCGAGAGGAAAACTCCTCCAGTTCATAGGCGGAAAAACATCGATAACGGTTTTTTTTTTTAAAACCACTCAAACCACAAACACATGAACATTAGACCGTCTGATAGGAACAGCAGGGTTAGGTGGGTATAGATGTTGTGTAGCCTATAATCTGTCGGATTACCAAACTGTAAATGAACAGTTAATCCTGGCCGAGCAGTAAAGTTTTTAACTTCGCAGGAAGCCACCTCTAGCCTCACTAATAGGATAGGAGGGCCCCTGGTGGCCCCTGGCCTGCATGTCCCAGAGCCTACAAAGATACTGACTTTGACCTGGATGTGTGTCTTGTAGTGTTTGAAGCCACCAGGATGGGGAACAGCAACAGCGACAGGTCCAGTGGGGGTCAGGGGGA